GTTTTTATAAAATATGTAACTTCTCAAATTTAATAGCCACATAAATGGTGTTGTTGTTGTTGTGTGCCGTGGAGTCGGCCCCGACTCATAGCGACCCCTCCTTGGGTTGCCAAGGCAGTATCACTACGGAAGTAGGATTGCCCAACCCTCCTTTCAAGGAATGGCTGGTGGGTTTGAACCGCCAGCCTTCTGGTTAGCAGTCAAGTGCTTTTAGCCACTATGCTACCAGAGCTCCCATGTATTAAGATAAACTGTATCTTCCTTAGCAATTGTCACCCAGAAAAACATTTATGCTATCCATTCTATGAATCACCTACGCTCAAAGCCTGTTTTATCAGATTCTTTCTTGCTTCTGACATCCAATTCTTAGCTGATGCTGTCACTCCACCTGGGCAATATCTACTTTCCCAATTCACTCATTGCCTTCACCCTCCTTCAGACTTTCATTACTTTCCTTCCTAACTAGTAACCAACTCCCTCCTGCAACCTCTCCTAACAGCATGCCAATCCTGCATGCTGCATGCCACAGAAAATTCTAAAGCTCAGCTATGATTATCTTATTTCTACATTTAAAAACCTCCAATGGCTCCCCTCTACCTGTGCAAACACCTCACCACAGCATGCAGGCATTCAGATTCTCCCATGCTCTGGCCCCAACCTATCGCCCTCCTTTTGTCTTAATTGCTTCTCCTTTTAGCCAAAGCTCAAAAAGGAGACCATGCCACAGGTCTTGAATTAGCTCAGATTTTCTCATGCTCTTTTCTCCCCTTGGAATGTTCTCTGCCCACCCATCTTTCACAGCTGAAATACTCCGAAGTCCAACCAACATTATTTCCTTTATAAAAGAGCCCCGGTGATACAGTAGTTAAGCACTTGGATGCTAACTGAAAAGGTCAGAGGTTTGACCCCATGGGAAAAAGCTGTGGCAGTCTAGTCCGTTCCTATAAAAATTACAGCCTTGGAAAGGTAGTTCTACTCTGTCATATAGAGTTGCTATGAGTCATAGTCAACTCAAAGGCAGTGGGTTTCATGTTGGTTTTCCTTTATAAAGCATTTCTACCGCCCTCACTACCAGGTGTTATGTTTCCTTATGAAGCCCCTTAGGCCATTTACAGCCCTATGTTCCATCAGCCTTAGTGCTTGTGTGCTTAGGTTCTTTTAAAAAACATACACTCCTTTCATGAAGTCCTTATATATTTATCTTTGCATCTCCCACTAGTGCACACAAAGATACTTAGTAAATGTTTGATGGATGAATTCGTTAATTTGATAACATGCACCCACTGTGTCTTTACAGAACTGACAGTCTAAAGACAAGCCATGAAGGCACAGGGTTATGGGAGTGCAGAGCACTGGACCACAGATGAGGAGTCAAGGATTCTCAGGGCACCTCAGCCTGGAGTGGACTGTGGGATCTTGGGCAAGGCTTAATCTTCTAGTCTCTAAAGTGGGGCTTCTGTGGAGTAGGTGATCCTTCACACTCCCTCCCTCTCTAAAATTCAATGCAAATATATCTGTTTACCTCATGCTAAGAAATAGGCTTCTTTTAAACAGTAGTTTAAAACTTTACAATATCCATGTCCCTTTAGTTTTGTGTATTTCACTGTACATAAACTATATCTCAATAAAATATATTTTTTTAAAAAAGAACTTTACAATATATATCCACTAGTAATCACATGAATTTTGGTTTTCAAATCATGAGATAGAGAGAAAAGCAAGTATTAACATTACAACATGTATTTCTGAAACGTAATGACTGTATCTGCTTAGCTATGGGGCTTTGTTACTCTGCCATCATCCCTACTTAGGTAACAAATTTCACTATAAATTTGTAATTTAACTATAAGAAGAAGACTAGAGCAATTCTGCCTTAATTGGAAGCAATTCGTATACTATGCTCTTCTATATAAGACAAATTCAATGTAAAATTCTCAAAAATTATCTGTTATATTATCAATAATATAGCATTTACCAAACATTAACAAACACGCAGAATAGGAGAAGTTAAATAAACTAGTTGCAGAATTCATCCAGCATAAAATAGACACAAAGAATTGGAAAAAGGCGGGGAGAGGAGAGAATTACAAATGAGATAGAATACTGTCCTGAAAACTGACAAGCATTATTAATGAAAAAGAGAGAGGGGAGGTATTTTAAAGTCACCTTGAAAGGAAAAATAAGATTTAGGGGTCTCTACACAGTCAAATTGATTGAATTAGGGACAGGGCTAAACTCACTATTACAAAAATCACCATAGTGCCTAAGGCACTTGACTGCTAACCAGAAGGCTGGCGGTTCAAACCCACCAGCCACTCCTCAGAAGGAAGATGGGGGCAATCTACTACTGTAGTGACACTGCCTCGGAAACCCAAAGAGGGGTCGCTATGAGTCAGGTCCGACTCGATGGCACATAACAACAACAACAACAATTCAGCCAATAAGGAGTTCTGGTGGCACAGTGCCTATGTCATCTGACTGCTAACCAGAAGGTTGGTGGTTCAAACCCACCAGCTAGCTGCTCTGCAGAAGGAAGATGATACAATCTACTTTTGTAAAGATTTACTGCCTTGGAAACCCAACGGGGTCACTATGTGTCAGAATCTACTTGATGGCAGTGGGTTTTCAGCCAATAAAAATAGCAGTTTTGAAATAAATGAGTTTAAATTCAGCCTGTAGTTTTATATTGGCTTTTTTTTTTTTTTTTTGCTTAGAAAAACTTAGGTCAGAAAAGTACTCATTAAATTCTTAGTTATCATTTATTTCACACAGGCCTGTTGATCACACAGGGATGCTTAAAAATTGCATGCCACAAGAGACCAAGTCCTTCCACACAAAACTACCAGAAAACCAGGTGTAGAGGGCATAGCCTCTCAGTCGTTGGGCATAGTCAGTATTTTAAAATGCAAAAGCCAGCATTTGTGGGCTATTTGTATTTTATTAATTCCTCAATTCAGAAGTGTTGGCAGTAGGACTGCCACCTCATAACTGCAAGTCCATACAGGCTTGGGGTGGGGGCGGAAGGGTCAGACTTCATTACCTGGGACAGGAAGGAATGTTCTCAGGCTCAATCAAGGCCTGAGAACAAGACCTCTGCAGCCTTGGGAAATCAACACCAGTGGGCAGAAAAACACCCTTCCAAAGACCTAGGTAATTTTTCACTTGGGTCTGTTTTCCCTTCTCAGACTGATGTAAAAACCTGACAAGTTTATAAACAAGCTTTAAGCTAGGAAAACAGAACATAGGAAATTATGTTATACTATAAAAACACACTGAGCCTTTCAAAAATTAAATATTTCCATGAAGAAACCACTTATCTGTATGCAGTTCATTGACCAAAGAATTATTTTAAATATTACTTCACTACAAATAATGTAAACCAATGGGATAGAATACTCAACAACAGTACTAATTACTGTCAATTTAAAAGACAGGCTGTAGGATGACAGAGCATATTTATAAAATAAAAGTTTTGATTCATAAAATCCTGAAGAATCCTTGCAAATTCTGGCTTGGATAAGAAAACTGTGCTTCTCAAATACTGGAAAACTGAGAGGGAAAAAAAAATAAATTGAAACAGTAAAGTTTTAAAACAAACTAAAATGCAAATTTGCAACATGTTCTCCTAATTCCTTCTATTGGTACATTTTTCCTGGAAAACCTCAGGTGTCTTTTGTTCAGAAAACAAAGTTTCAATATTGAGAAAATTCCTTCTTAATTCCAAAAGTGGCAATAAATTAAGAAAAATAAATAAATAATTAAATCCAAGCAGGAAACAGGTTGTAACACGAGTAGTCCCAGTCTTTGAAACTGCTTGCAAAACAAAACCCCTTTGGAGCGTATTCAGGTAGCTCCTCCCCAGCCCAAGGCCACAGCGCCGAGTCAACAATGGTGCGGAGCCCTGGGCCTGTTGCCCAAACTCTCCCGGCTTGCGTGGGTATCCAGAGTCCGACTCTGGGGACCAGCTTCCCTATCTCCCTCACCCATCAAATGACTCCCTCGGTCTGTTTCCGCTTTGATCCGAACCCGCTGGCCCCTGCCCTCCTCCCGGTGCGCTTCTGCCGGCACCTTCAGCCGGGCGGCCCCCAGAGTAGCTGGCGGACGCAAGCGGTGGGTCCGGGCGCCCTCGGCTCCGTATCCCTCTCTGCCCAGACACTCCTGCTCAAGGAGCAGATATTACGACGGCGCTGACGATCAAGGCGCTGGGGTCCTTTATCCAATGCTTTTTAAAAAGGGAGCAAACAAAGGGCCCAACCCGTGCTCACGTCGGCGGAGGAGACGGGCGCGCCCCAGCCCCGCGGCTGTTCAATCCCAGAAACTGTTGGAGGGGAGAGGGAACCGCTGAAGCCGGGCCCCCCTCGAGACGCGATCCTTCGCCGGCGGGACACGCAGCCTATATCTGGGTGCCGTCGCTATTCAGCTTTGCTTAGTGACCCAAGAGACCGCGGTTTCAGGGTGCACGGGAATGTGAGGGAGCCCAGCAGGAACCGCGGGGCGCCGCCACTGGGCAGGCCGCGGACCCCTGGCCTCCGCCGGTTTACGCGTGGTTACAGCTCAGGGTAGGCTTGTGTTATCACAGCCACAACTTGCCTGACCTCCCACCTGCCGGCCGAGGAAGACCAGAGCCCGAAACAAAGGCAATGCGGCCGGCCAGGCAGAAGGGCAGCCCAGTGGCGAAGAAGAGAGGATCCCTGGCCGCCCCTTCGCGCCCTCGTGGGCCCCCCACAAAAGGGATTTGAATGCCCGGTCCCGCCTCGGTCGGGTTCGCAAGAAGGGAACCAGGTGGAACCGAGTCCCTACTTCCAGGAAGGGAGCCGCTCCTTTCCCGGCACCTACCGTCCCTCCTACTCAGCGCCGCGCACTGGTGCCGGCCACCTGGGCGCAGATCCCAGCTGGGCCAGAAAATAGTTTTGTGAGCTCGGGCAAAAAAAGGTTCCTCCTTCCGGACCCAGTTTTCCCTCCCTCCCTACTTCCTAGGAGTCGGCTCGGAGAGCACCCACCCGTAGCCGTCCGAGTTCATCTCGGTGACCGTACAGCGGCGCGTGTAGTACATCCTGCCGTTGGCGCCACTGCCGCTGCCACCGCCGCCGCCGCCGCCACAAGTCATCTCGTAGCGCAGGTCCGGGCCGGACTCGGCGCGCGTCATGCGGCCCAGCGTGTTGATCCGCGGGTGGGAGCCCCCATTGCAGCTCATCTCGGCGGCGGCACGCAAGAGCGGCTCAGCGCCGAGGCATAAGCGAGAGCAGCGGCCGGAGGATGTCCGCGGAGGCTTAAAAAGCACTGAAAGGCCGAAATGGAGGGGGCGGTGCCAAAGTTTCACAAGGACGCTCCTCTCTGCCGGGCGGTGCCGGCCGCTGCGACTGCAGCGCGGCCGAGTGGAGGTACGCGCGCGGGAGAAGCGCGCTGGGAGCGCCCGACTGCTAGAAGAGCAGGAGGAAGAGCTGTGGCTTGGAGGGTGGCGAGAGCGCAGAGGAGCTGCGTTGGGGCTGGGTGTTGGTGTTGGTTGGCGGGGTGCGAGTCTCCTCCCGGCTGGCACCGGGCGCCGAGGCCACACCTGGCCAGTTTTTTCCCAGGGCGGGGTTCGGCCCCTGCGCCGATCCCACCCCCAGCCGGTGTCACCAACGCGCCTCGGCTCCCCTCCCCACCTGCGCCCGCCGGCCTGTGGCCCCACCCTGCACCTTCGAAGATTGAGCAACAGCCAGGAGGGGAGGCGAGGGACCAAGGACAAGCCCTCGCTGGGGTGCTACGATTGACGCCTGAAACAGGGCGCCTCGCCTTTGAGGATTTCTTTGGTCCCTCGGTCGGAAATAAGCTGGAAAATAAGACCTTTCGATGGGACAATTACTTATTAAACATTTTCGTTTGCTGGTCCCCTGGAAAGGATGTCAACCTGTCTTCGAAAGGAAGCACATAATTGAGGAGAGAACGTTTGGAAGATGGGCTTTTGTTTTGGCTCTCCCCCTCCCCCGCTGTAATCAGGAAATTGCCTCTAAAGTCCTATTTTTGACGTATAAAAAATGATTTTTAAAGAGAACATCATTCGCTGGAGAGGTCTTCACCATACAGTTTCTTCACTTGAAGATAAAGAGGAAAATATTGTAGTTCTTTTCCATGGGATAACATAAAATATAAATTGCAATTTCTTTGTTTTTCCTCATCTTAAACAAGAAATTGAAAGGTTTCAAACCCAGCCCCAGTCTCCAGATTTTGCTAAAGAACTTTGGGAAAGAAGATCTTTCTTGGCCCCCGAGGATCTTCTCCCCAAACTTAGTCTCTTTTGGAACTCGGAGCTCTTCCCACAGTCCATGGAGAAGGCCCTCCTGGAATGAAGCCTATCTGGGAGCTGCAAAGAGCCCTGGACAGAGATCACCCACATTGTACAGATGAGTAACTCAGAGCCAGAACATTCCAGCGAATAGCCCCAGGGCCGCTCCCAGCTAGTGGCTGAATGTTAACTACCCTGTAATCTCCATGAGCCCTGTGTAGATATAGGCCCAACAATACTATGCATAGCTGTTTTTATAATTTGGGAAATTGTTAAGTTATTCTTCAATGAAGCACCATTTAAAGATTTTTATAATGAACATTTCTCATCTACCTAAACAATGCTTTCTTATATATTGTATTTCTGAAAATGTTTATAAACTGTGAAGAACAAAAATCAAACTATATTTTCATGTTGTAAAGAGAGTGAGAGGAGTTTTCTAAAATTTGCTGTATTACAAAACCCCTCATGACACCTCACCTTTTGGGCACAATCGTTGACAAAACGTCCTGTCCTTTTGCTTCACAATTTACCACAGAATTGGTAAGTTTAAGTCCAAGGAGTCAAAAATGCTACCGAGTTTACCACTGTTAGCACAACCTATAATTTTTCACTTTCCTCTTCGTTTTGTTTGTTGTTGTTAGGTGTCATCGAGTCACCTGCAACTTATAACGATCTTAGGTATGATTTTAACAAAGGCAAAAGGTGATAAAGTGTTCAAATAATTACACAAAATTCTGAGATGTAGATAAGTTGTTTCTTCTGAAACAACATTGTCTGAAAGTCAGCCCCAGCACAAACAGCCCATGATGTCCATTGGTTGGAGGGGAGAAAAGTAGTAGATGGAATATTTCAAGATGTCAGTGTGCAAAAATTTATATTACATGGTGCAAAATTTGAATTACGATGAATTCTCTCTATGCAGCTCATTTGTGCAGCAAATATAGATAACCTACTACATGGAAGGGCTAATGCAAGGCTCTGGCAAACACAAAGATGAATAAGATACATTGTCCTTTAAAACATTACTGGCCATTGAGTGCCAGAGGGGCAGCATTCACAAGGAGGGAAAGCTGGACAGACAGGAGTGCACAGTTAAGAAGGGCACAGGGAGGGGGGTCACAGGGAAGGGAGGGGAGGAGGGTGGGTTAGGGTTGGCGATGGTAATCAGGAAGTGAAACCAAATGTACATGAACTGTTGAATGTAAAACAAATTCTGCTCTGTAAATTTGCACCCAAAGCACAATTAAAAAAAAAATTGTAGTAAAACTTAAATTGAAAAAACAAAACAACCAGAGATTCCTTTTTTCCCAATGGTGTGTAATAAAAAGGGCCTCTAATCTCACAGCAGAATTCTCCTTGTAAAAAAAAACCACATCTATGAACATCCTTCCATTATCAAATTAAGGCTCCAAGCAGGCAATGGACACTTCTGAGAGCTCATAGTGGGTACATAGGAGTCAGGCTACACACAGACTCTCTGTTAGCAAAACAGGGCAAGAGAGTTTGACAGACGATGCTTCTACAAGTGTATTTGTACGTGCTATAAAAATCTCTGGTGTATAGTAGAGCTGACAAGGGACAATGTTGTGGTGACTTCTTGGCCACAGCTAGCTACTCTGGGGGAATGAGTGGTTGGACCTGTGGGATGAGGACCATGGTCACAGGGGACATCAAACTCAATTGTCTTATCATACTATGCAAAAAACATTGTTCTACATCCTACTTTGGTGAGTAGCAACTGGGGTCTTAAAAGATTGCAAGTAGCCACCTAAATGCAACAATGTCTAGAGCAAAGAAAAATGAAGAAAAGCAAAGACGTATGGAAACAATTAGTCCAAGGGACTAGTAGACCATGTGATCCTCAGCATATATGACCATGAGACCAGAAGAACTAGATGGTATCCAGCTACCACTGTCAACCACTTGGAGGGGCATTGGTGCAGGAGATCCTGGGTGGAGTGGGAGAACAATGTGGAACAGAACTCAAAATCATAAAAAAAAAAAGACCTGGTTTCCTGGTCTGATAGAGCCTGGTAAGACCCTTGAGACTATGGCCCCTAGTTACCCTTCAGGTCTGGAACTGAACTCACTCCTGTGGCTTCCAACCAAACAATAGACAGGCATAGAGGGTGAACATTTACGTCAGGTAGATATACTCCTTTGGAGTAATCAATTGTGGGAGAACAGAAGGGCAATGTTTGCACAGGGAGACAGCTCAGGGGGCAGGAGTGCATGGGAGAGGAGGACACAGGGAAGAGATATCTACAGGAAGGAAGTGGGAAGAGAGCTGTTACATTGTGGGGAATTGCAATCAGTGTCATGAAACAAAATGTGTATGAATTACTGTATGGAAAATACTTGTAAACTTTCACCCAATCACAATTAAAAAAAAAAAAAAAAGAATAAGAGACAAAACAAACAAACAAATAAACTCTGGCTGTCTTTGCTTCCTAGCCTATCTTATTGCTTCCTGCACTTCTTCAGGTATTCCCAAGACCCCAAATAACTTTTAGCTAACCAAACACACCAGGTCTGTGAAGAGAATGGCCTTAAGCATTTGTCTTTCTCTAAGAGGAATAAGATCCCTGGGTGGCACAAACAGTTTACACTCATCTACTGGCTGAAAGATGGGTGCTGTCAGATGACAGGCTTGACGATCTGCTTTTGAAAGTTGACAGAGGGGTCACTATGAGTGGAAATAGACCCAGCAGCAGCTCACAACAACAAAGGGGGAATAAAGAAAGATAACGGGGATGAAATGAATAGAGTGACATGATCGAGAGGTGGAATCCAAACATGTATACAACACTTGTATTTGTCAGTTAAATTGGCTCCATTTCATCAAAGTGTGTTTGACTTCTTGCATTTAAGCTGGTTAACTCTGTGGTCAATTATGAAAAAAAAAAAAAAAAAAAAAAGACAAGAATTTTGTGAAATACTGTGCCAAAAAGGTGAGATGTATATAGATGTATGTATATATGTCCTATGGTAAGGATTGGGGGCCAGAAGGCCACAGTTCTCATTTTTGAGAATGTCTTTATGTGCAAAATGGAAATAATAACACTTGCCTTGCCAACCTTCCAGATCTACAGAGAAGATCAAATGAGACAAAATATGTGAACGTTTTTGAAAAGTGTGAAACATTATATGAAGCTAAGGTTGTTGTTAGGAGCTCGGTAGCATAGTGCTTAAGACATTTGACTGCTAACCAGAAGGCTGGCGGTTCAAACCCACCAGCCACTCCTCGGAAGGAAGGTTGAGCAATCTACTCCCATAGTGATACCGTCTCGGAAACCCAAGGAGGGATTGCTATGAGTTGGGTCTGACTTGACGGCACATAACAACAACAACAAGAAGGTTGTTTTTGGCTGCCATCAGGTTGGTTCCAACAGATAGTGACCCCATGCACAACAGAATGAAATGCTGCTAGATGAAATGCACCATCCATCTCCATCATCAGTTGGAAGGGATCAGACAGTTGTGATCCATAAGGTTTTCAGTTGCTGATTTTCAGAAGTAGATTGCCAGGCTTTTCTTCCTAGTCCATCTTATTCTGGAAGCTCTGCTGAAAACAGTTCAGCATCATAACAACATGAAAGCCTCCACTGACAGATGAGTGGTAGCTGCACAGGAGGTTGAAAATCCAACCTGGGTTTCTAGCATGAAAGACAGTAATTCTACCACTGAACCACCAATGCCCCCTAAAGCTAAGGTACCCATTCTAAACCAAATCTATTGCCATCATGTTTATTCTGATTCATAGTAACCCTTAGGGCAGAGTAGATCTGCCCCCAAAAGGTGTACTGTAATCTTTACAGGAGCAGCCTTTCTCTCTTTCCTTCCTTCCTTCCTTCCTTCTTTCTTTCCTTTCCTTTTCTTTTTTTCTCATCTTTCTCCTGCGAAGCAGGTGGTAGATTTGAACCACT